GGGAACAATTCAGACAAGTGCTCTTCGTCATCACTCTTAAAGTAGCAATAACACCATATCCATTTCCTGGCAGCAGCTGGCCTGTTTTTCGCTGATGTGAAGTGCAGAGGGCATTGAAACAGTGAAGAAGGCTGCTATGAATGGAATACACATATAAAGTACAATTGGTAATGAAAAGTATCACTTGATATTCTACAACTATAGATAAGACTGTTAGTATGAGGTAAAAATATTTTTACTTAAATTCACAGAAAAATTTCATTCACAATATTTCTATTTCAAATAATTTTTGACTCTTTATTTGCTGGCTTTTTATCCAATATTACTTGAGCTCAATAGGAATCAACAAAATGAATTTTAATTTTACTGCAAGAATTTTATTCATGCATATGTTTAATTTACTGAAAATATGTTGATATTCCATAAAAGGCTTATACTTTTTTTTGATGGAGTCTCACTCTGTTGCTAAGCTGGAGTGCAGTGGCACAATCTTGGGTCACTGCAACCTCCACCTCGCTGGGTTCAACTGAGTCTTCTGCCTCAGCCTCCCAAGTAGCTGGGACTACAGGCATGTGCCGCCACACTCAGCTATTTTTTTGTATTTTTTAGTTGAGATCAGTTTCAAAATGTTGACCAAGATGGTCTTGATTTCTTCATATTGTGATTCACCCACCTCGGCCTCCTAAAGTGCTGTGATTACAGACAAGTGCCACCGCACCCAGCTAAAGAGTTACACTTTAGCCAGGCAGGGTGACTCACACCTCTAATCCCAGCCCTTTGGGAGGCTAAGGCAGGTGGATCACCTGAGGTCAGGAGTTTCAGACAGGCCTGGCCAACATGGTGAAACCCCGTCTCTACTAAAAATACAAAAATTAGCCAGTTGGGGTGGCAGGTGCCTGTAATCCTAATTACTCAAAAAGTGGAGACAGGAGAATCTCTTGAATCCAGGAGGGGGAGGTTGCAGTGAGCTGAGATCATGCCACTGCACTCCAGGTTGGGCGACAGAGTGAGACTCTGTTCCAGAACAACAAAAAACAAAACAAATCAAAAAAGATGTATGCTTTTTTTGTGTTATTTTTGCTGAGAAGTGGTTTTTCCATCAGAAAACTATTCTCAGCTGTGCTCACATTGACTCTCCTCAGCATAGTGACTGGAAGAGATGTGTGGGTAAAAAACAAATGTGTCTTCTTTGCATTTTTTAAATCTATTGGCTTAAGAAAGAGGAGAATGCAGATAGCCGGGAGCGGTGGCTCA